AGAATTAAAGTGTAAAAGTAGGAAGGTGGCAGTTGTGTGTGCCACAGTGAGTTACACCCACCCCTGTCTTGTGGGGTTACCTCCAATATCCTCCTTCCTCCTTCAAGGATACTCCAATGGTAGCTTCTCCTCACTTATTTGCCAGTCAAAGTAGGCATGTGAGTGAAAGTTATAAGAAGTAGCTGCTTCTGCTCACTTGCCTACACAGAGCACAATTGAGCAGGTCACTTTCACAGCCACCATTATTCTGGGTAGCACATGAGGACATGGTTAGCTGAGCTAGCAGAAGAAAGACTAGTAGTGAGCCAGCAAGACAAAGATGCTGCTGCAAAGGCATGCTTGCATGTGTATTCCCCATGGAAAGCTCAACAACTGAGACTGGGGTGCAGGAGGTACAGTCATTACAGCTCTGCCACAGTTTACAAGGGAGTGAGGGAACAATGATGATTACAAGGAGCCACCAGATGTGCTTGCTTACCTGCATCCCTTCTCTGGACAAAAGTGCAGCTGGAAACGGACCCAACCCTCCATGTCCAAAGAAAGAAGGCAGGGCAAGCAAAGCGGCAGCATCTAGTCTGCATGCTGTCTCTCTCTGGGCAACAAAGTAAGGGCAATCTGATGCATTAGGCCCAGTCACCACAACAGTCGTCCAAGGAACCATGCCAACGCTTGCTTATACAGTATGTGCTGTAAGCCGGTCCTACTTTCTCTTCTCTCTCTCAACAACATGACTAGGAGGACTGCACCCAATCCTACCCAGAAAGAACAAGTTAACAATGGGAGTAGAAGGAAATATGCCAAGAGCCCCTCTATTCTCAAACCTAGGACTAGCCCTGGGTGACCATTCTTAAGGCGATTTCCCTCAAATCCCCAAGAGCCAACGTGGTGTAGCGGCTTGAGTGTTAAGACTGTGACTCTAGGGACCAGATTCAAATCTCATGGGCAAGTCACAATCTCTCAGCCTCAGAGGCACACCTCTTCTGAACAAATCTTGTCAAGAAAACCCCATCATAGGGTCCACCATTAGGTGGGAAACAACTTGGAACGGAAGGCACACAACAACCACCACAATAATGGGACATACTAAAACAAATGACAGACAGTACTTGCCCATAGGGAAACCATACTTACCTATTGGGAATCACTGGTGAATACTTGCTCACGGGGAAAAGTAAGGGAATACTTGCCCATAGAGGATCATTTATAGATTCCTTTTTTGGGGCTGAATTGATCCTCTATGGGCAAGTAATCCCCAATGATCCTCTATGGGCAAGTATTCTCCAATGATTCCCTATGGGCGGCAAGTATTCTCCATTTATTTCCTATGGGCAGCAAGTAATCCCCAATGATTCCCTATGGGCAAGTATTCTCCTATGTTTCTCTGTGGGCAGTTATGGTTTCCCTATGGGCAAGTACTGTCATTTGTTTAGTACAGGGGTAGGCAACCTAAGGCCCGGGGGGCCGCATGCGGCCCCTCGAGGCTTTTGGACCGGCCCCAGGCTGGTCCTGCCAC